GGAGCTGAAGGCAGTCGCTTAACCAACTGAGCCACCCAGGCGCCCTGTTGCTTTCTATTTCTATTTACTTCTTAATTTTTTTAATTTTTTGAATATACAATTTCTTCTCAGCTTTATTGAGACATAATTGACACAGGACCTGTGTAAGTTTAAGGTGCCAACATGCTGATTTGATACATTTATATATTGCCAAATGATCGCCACCATAATCTCAGCTACCACCTCCATCCCATCACATGGTGACCATTTCTTGTTTGTGGCATGAACATTTGAGACCTCCTCTCTTAGCCCTTGTTGCCTTTTAAAATGTGGTCCTGCACGGTGCTCCGTCACTTGCCAGCAGGAGGCCAAGACTTGTTCAGTGAAGAAGTCCAACTTTTGCTGGACGTGCTTATGGCCCCAGGCCCAGTGCCTAGTATGAGTTGCCTCGAAGAGTCAAAGATTCCCCATCGGAAAAGCCAGAATAAGCCAGAAAACATCAGAAAATATGTTCCCTGTTTAAAGAGGAGATGTTTAATCTTCTCCTTTTTACTTTTGCTAAGCTCTCCTTCCTTCCAGGCCAAACTAAGGGGTAACATTGATACCAGCTCCAGGAAAGAGGTGCTAACCTTTCCCTAAGCTGACAGTCAAGGTGGTGGTGCTCCCTCTGAGCTGGGAGTTCTTACCTGTCAACAAGAGAAGACAGAGATTAAAAAGAAAGATGGATGAGCAGGAAGGAGTAACCTACCGCTCTTACAGCCCGCCTCATGCTCTCACCTCCTGAGAGAGTCCAAGGACCGAGAGGCACTGGCTGGACGCCATCACACGGATTTATTCCAACCACATCCTCCTCTGTCTAGAGTGGGCTTTCCTCATTCAGGATCAGGGGCAATGAAGGTGTGGCAACAGGAAGTGATTTCGGGGGGTAATGAGACGAAAAGACAAAATAGCTCTGCCTTCCCGATTCCCTGGACAGTCAAGCCTAACTGGACCGTTTTCTGGAAGTGGCTTTTCAGGCATTTCAGTGGGAAGTCTCACCATCCAGTGTCTGTTCTATACCATGGTTGTTACTGTTATTGCTTTTACTTTTTTCTTTGCCTTTTAAGATGGTTATGGCAGAGGAGGAATAATCATGAAGTTTTGTCCCTAGTACTCTCAGCAACACTTCTCTCCCACTGTCGAACCATGGAGACCTGCTGTCCTCGAAAGACCTGGCTCTCCATCAAGGTGCTCCGTGTCCTGGATCTGCTATGATCCCCATAAATATTGGCTCAGGACCTCCTACTTTACAATCCTGCTAAGTAACTATCTCATTGTTTTAGACCTTTTACTTTCCTTAACCCCCCACATATTTGACTAAACAGATCAGAGCCACCTAAACAACTCCGTTTTCATCCACTTTTCTTCCTTCTCTGCTGTCTCTGAGGAAGACCCATTTGTTTTCCTGGCCCAGGTTAAGAGTCATGTTGCTGATACCACCACACCCTTTCGTGTCCTCCAGGTTGATGGTCTAGGAATTGCCTCCTTTAGCTATTGAAAATCTCTCTTCTTCTGGTTCTTTCCTCTCTGGAGGCAGCAATGGACAACTCTCTCCAGGTTGAGCACAGCACCTGGCACACAGTATGTGCTCAATTAAGGTAAGTGCTCAACAAATATCTTATTAAATAAGATCAATGCAGCCGCTCCCTCAAACAGGGCCTCCATGTTACACAGTTCTAGGGTGCGCCATTATATTTTATTCTGTGTGAATGGCACCCCGTAAAGCTCTACACTGGAATACTATTGTCCTTTTCTAAAACAACTGTCACAGAATTTGCACAATACTTTTTAAACATGACCCTGCAAAGAATGAGTATCTTCTGAAAGCCAGTTTTTAAAAGTAAGTCCATTTCCATCCAAGAATTTTTCAAAATAGGAACTGAACACATTCTGAAAGTTTTTTTGCCTCCATACTGAGGGGGAGAGGACAATAAAATCCGCATGCAGGTATCTCCTCACTTTATTACAGGTCTAAGATTGTTCATTCTCTAAAAGAAAACATGCTTGAAGGAATAGCACAATAATTATAAAAAGTCTGTGTTGGTATATTGGTTTTAAAAGGAAAAAAAGAATTTTTAAAGGAAAGTATTCTAAAACCCAATGATCCAAACACCAATCCAATATGTTTGATTTGGGAGTTCTTTGCCAAGACTTGTCTCCACGCATAGATAAATCAAGTAAATTCACTGAACCAAATCTTTAGAATTGCCATTTTCAGAGCTTCAGGAATCACAGAAGAATCTAGGTGTGTAACCAAACAGGATCTTGGCCTAAGCCCTTTGCCAAAACATATAAATACTTCTAGATACTCCTTCCACATATGCAAGAAACCTACATAAATCTAACTTTTAAAGAACGCCTCCTTTAGATGCAGTTACGTGAACATGATTTACAGACTCAGTAGTTCCATTTAATGGGCAAAGATTAAACAGATTTTAAGCAAATGAAAGTTTGGTGAAAAAACAAAAAAAGAACATGGAAGGAATTTAAGGCCCCACACCCATGCTTCTATAGAAAAAAACAGTCTCCTTATTCTTGAGCCATATAGCCACCCTGAGCTAAAGGCAGGTCTTATTTGAGTGGAGAAGTAAGTCTTCCAGCCAATCATTTTCTAATCCAGTGGGTAATTTGTTCCAAAAATAAGCATTGCTTGCCAAATGTGCTGTCCTTCATTGGACTGGATCCGAGTGGTTGCCACTCTACATAATTCAGTCTTTGAGGGAAACTGTGGAGCCACCCACATCCTAAATCAGTGACAGTTTAAGGAAAAAAAAAAAAAAGATTTACTTGAATTTGCGTTTACCTCTCCAGCTTCATTTCTTGACAGTCTTTCCAAATCTGACTGTGTGTACGTGTGTATACACAGATATGCACCCACTCATGCACACACTGCACTCTACTCTCCAGCCACACTAACTCTGTGCAATATTGGAAATGGCCCACCTTCTCTTCATCTCCACGCCTTTGTAGATTCTGTTCTCTGCTTGCAATAGCTTTCCTATTCCCATGCACCTGGCTAATTTTTGTCTCTCATTTGAGACTCAGCCTCAATGGTGCCTCACCCAGGAAGCTTTCCCCAACCCGTCAAGTCTGGCTTAGTTTTCTATTCTTTGTAAATACCCTCACAGGGCTCTGCAAATGCCCCCATCCATAGTATGCATTACAGTTTCTTCTTTGGTTATGTATTCTCCCACTAAGCTACAAACTCTTTGAGGATAAGAACTTTAAATCGGGTTTAGTGAAAACGTGTTGACTAAACAAACACTGGATGTTAACTCACTCCTGTCCTGACCATCCTTATAATGTCTTTCGCTGCTATCCATGTGAACACGTTAAAAGACTAGATAATTGACATATAGCAAAATAAATGAAGAACACTGTGCATAGCCATAATACTTAAATTTCAACTCCTATGATCCTTGATTTCCTTTAGGTTTGTGCCTAGAAAATTGAAAAAAAAACTGGAAAATCTGCTAAACCAGTGGACACAATTCAGTGCAAATTGCATTCTGGTTATGGGAACATTCAGAAAGAGGTGTTGCTAATTTGGGAAGGTTTGATGGAAGTTCTCAGGTTTTGATGAAACTAATGGACATAGAAGATGTCAGTGAAGGGAAATAGACACAGGATAGGCAGAATATAGACAGAGAGGAGGAATAATAAGGAAAAAAACCACCTAGTTTGACTTCCTTGCATAGAAAACCATCAGAAACAAAGAATGTCTTGGTAAGGAATCTCCTGTGCTAACAACCTTGGGCAGGTCCTTACCCTCTGGCCTGGAGAGCCATCGCGTCCTGGTGAACCAATGCTTCCCGGGATACCCTAGGTAGAGCAAGGACCAAAAAAAGTCAGAGTCACGGAAATCGGAAATCAATTGCCTTTCCACCCAGCTTCCCTGAAATAGATCCAGACCTCCAAACAAACGTAATAGCATAAAGGTGAATTCAGAATCCAGAAATGATTTATATGAAAGAAATGTTCCCCTCCAGAGCATCAGTATGACTCTCAGAGACTACTAAAGTGAATAGACACAGGCTAACAGTCTTTAATACAGAAACCACTTACTGCTAGAATCACAGCTGACTTTAGAAGCTACAGCCTTCCCCACCTTCCCACCCATCCCCCCAACCTTGGCAAGGCTCTAGAGCTAAGAATATTTGGTGGGGGAGGGGCAGAGGGAGAAGGAGACAGAGAATCTTTTTTTTTTTTAAAGATTATTTATTTATTTTATGCCAGAGAGAGACACAGCGAGAGAAGGAACACAAGCACGGGGAGTGGGAGAGGGAGAAGCAGGCTTCCTGCCAAGCAGGGAGCCTGATGTGGAACTCGATGTGGAGCTCCATCCCAGGACCCCGGGACCATGACCTGAGCCAAAGGCAGACGCCCAGCGACTGACCCACCCAGACGCCCAGAGACAGAGAATCTTAAGCAGGCTCCATACGGAGCCTGATGTGGGCCTCGATCCCACAACCGCGAGATCATGACCTGAGCGGAAATCAAGACTTGGACGTTTCGCTGACTGAGCCACCCAGGGGCCCCAAGCTAAAAGCATTTTTTTTTAGCAGACTAAAAAGTAAAACTCATACCTGTGGGCCAGGAAGGCCAGTCTCTCCTTTTTCTCCTTTAGCACCCGGCATTCCCTGAATAGCCAAAAGCATTCGGGGTTAAGTTCACGTAGGGTCAATTCTTTGTCTTTTCTTTCTCTCCTCTTACTGCACTAACATTTTCAACATTAACTTGCTTTCGCGCTAACATCCAAACCTGGCATGTTTCACTTCTCACATATGCTACCCCCTGTTTGTAAGCATTCCTACGGAGCTGAACATTTATACGGCACAACAGTTTAAACACAGAACATGCCGTCTGATATGGCTGAGCCCATGCTGTACATCTGTGTGAGAGATGGAACAGTACGATACTATCGATAGCTTAGATTTTTAAAGTTCATCTCTATCTAGAGTTTTGCTTTTATTTTGGCTAGAAAGATAAACGAATGAAAAAGCAAACAGAACCTGGCAGGTAGCAAGACCTTATCAAAGGCTTATTAGTAGTAGTAGCAATTGCATAACTGGAATGCTAATGATTTCTAAACTGTGAAAATAACCCGGAACAGAAAATTTCTCAGTGAGGGAGATAGAATCATATGCCCAGAAAGACGGCTAAAATGTGCTTAAAAGGCTTGTTTGCTTCAAATATTAATTTTATTTAATAGAAATCGGTTTTATTCTTGAAATCTTGATCCCTAGAGGAAGATTAATGACCATCAGTGAGTGGCATTAAATTTGTTTTCCGTGATATAAACAGCTTTTACAAACAGAGTGGCTGTATAAAAGTACACTGTCTATAATCTAAAACTCTAAGTGCACTGTCCTTTGATGCCCACTGAGAGAAAAATCATAAACAAATGGCTTCCATGAATCAATATCCATAATTACTACAAATACATAATGAACAACTTGAATTTGTTACTTTCTAGATTTTATTACATCTGTTAAGGACTTGGTCCGACAAGAAAAAGGACAATACATGTCATAGCCCTGTTTCTCTCCTTAGACAAATTGCTTACGGATATACCCACTCTGTGTGGATGTATCTACTTGCAAAAGACCCTCATCACTTGACAAAAAATTGGCTAATGAATGTACTCATGAACTCTCAGTTACTACTTCCATTTCTCAATTCTTATTTTTGGTGGTTGGAAGGGACTGAGGCTCATTATAAAGAGCAGAGAACACAAAAGTGCACTCTTTATAACTCATGAAAAGGTGATCACTACAAAATCCACCCAAATGTTTACACACTACTCACAGGCATTCCTTGAATGGACAGACCACTTGGTCCTTGGGGTCCAGGGGGACCCTGGGGTCCTGGAGGGCCTGTGTCACCTCGAGGGCCCTCTGGTCCCTGGAACACAAGAGAAGAAAATCATTCCAGAGGTAAGTTAGATTCTCGGTACTCAAAAGATATTTCTGCTTAGAGCACTTATAATTTATTTCCTTATGGAATGTTCCTAAGACACAAAGCGCTGATAGGATAGAGCAAGACAACATGCCTCCCAGACAAGATGTCATCAGTAAACCAAAAGAGTAAACACATGGCGGTTGCTGCAATTTTAATTTTTTTCTTCCATAAATAAGAAGGCTATGCCAACTATGTGAGTAACTAGACCCCCCACACTCCATAACAAATCCAAAATACAGAAATACTTCAAGACCACCCTCCTGGTCTGTGGCATGTAGGTTCATACCATCCAGTTGAACTACATTCTCTCCACCTCCACCCCTGTCAGCCACCCATCTTGGGGGCACTCCTGCATTACTGAAGACTTTGCCCCCAGTCCCTGTTTGCTTCCTCATCTTGACCCCACCATTCCTCTGTCTTCCGTGTCTGCCTAATGACCTGCCCTCAGTGTAATATTACTTGATTTTCTTTCTTCTCAGGATCAGGCACTCCTGTCACATTAGCAGCTCTTATTTCCATAGTTTGGACCTTGGTCTATCACCTCTGTAATCTTAGTTCTAGAAAAACTACATCCTCAACCTCTTCTTCTTGCCCTTCTCTCATTCTGGGACTCCAGTGAAAACTAGTATAAGTTAAGACTTCCAACACCTGGATATCATGTTAAATGTAAGACTGACGAATCCATTACTTGGGACAAGCAATACAGAAGAAAAAGTGGGGACAGATTATGAGCGTAGTCAGTTAAGTTTCAGGTTCATGGGGATAACCATGTGGACATGTCCAACAGTCTGGAGATCGAGAGATGTCTGAGCTGAGATGGATTTTGGAGTAGCTAAAGATGTGTTTGTGGGTGAGGTTCTTAAGGAGACTGTTGAGAACAGAAGAAACTGATAAAGATGAGACGAAAAGCAGGTAGAAGGGAGAAAAAGAGAAGCCTGAGCAGTGTAGGAAAGGCCAAGGCGGGGGGAGGATTTCTAATAAAAAGGTGTCCAACCATATCAAATGCTGTAGAGATCTCAAGTAAGATAGGAATTAAGCCATAGCCTGTGGATTTGATAACAAGGAGGTAATCGATGACCTTAATAAGAGCAATTTTACAGGATTCTTATAGGAACAGAAGTCATATGCAGGCTAAGTATGATTCTGGTTATATATAAATGGAATTATATACTATGAACTTCATTGGTTCATGATTCTTTCATGTGTCAGAGTGGTGTTGAGGTTCATACATTTTGTTGCATGTTTCCATAGTATGTTCCTTTTGATTGCTGAGTGGTACTCCACTGCATGGATATATAGAAAATTGTTTATTCACCTATTAATGAACATTTGAATCATTTCCAGTTTTTTGCTATTGTAAGTAAAGATACTATGAATATTTATGTACCAAAAACAAAAACAAAAAAAACCACTTGGAACTGAGGATGCAGAAAACAAATGAAATCTATTCTTACAAGAGACATAGTGTAGGAGGAGGGGAGATAGAGGTAGATTTAAAAAATATGATGGAAGAAACAAGCTGATAATTGACAAATATTGGTTAATGCTTATAATCATTTAATCATATATCAATTAAATATTATTGAGGAACTGAGAATGGAGCAGAAGAGCAGAAACTATGTGGTCTCATTTTATTCTATACAGTATGAGACAAAAATGACTGAGAGCCCAGCATCATGGCTGCTTTAAGCTTCTAAATTCTTATTATCTGTTTGCTACAATTAAAATATGGACCCACAAAATGGAAAATAATACAGCATGGGGCTTTCCATATGGAAGGTATACTTTATCTGTTCCTACACTATGGCATTGGTGGACATGTAAGGATCCTCTGTCTAACAAGACATTTTCCTAAAGCCACTTCATACTTATATCTGTGATTCATTAAAATCATCATGTAAAAATAACCACCTCAGTAGTGGTCCTGTGGAAAATGATTATCAGAGGTAAGGGGTCAATGTTGGGATCATCAAACATCTTTGAGCTCCTCATAAGTCTTCATGATCAGAATCATCATCCAGTGAGAATGTTGGAAAAACAATGGGATCCTGCTGGGATCCCAATGGGAGGAGGAAGCCAGAATCTGCAGGAGCTCCTGGGCACTGCCTTGAGGTGGAACTGAGGAAGACCCAGTGTATTGCTGTCTGAGAAGAAGCTTTAAAATCACTGGCCTTCCTTGTAGGACCATAAGACAGAGAGTCAGGTAAGAAACATCAAGTCTATGCCTAAGATATGTGTCGCAATATCAGAAAATTAAACAAACAAAAAAGGAGATATGTCATGTTTTGGGTTGGCTAGTGCCTCATTATCTTCAGTCTTCTTTCATTTACTGCCCCCCTCCAATATTAGCTCCTACCTTGCTGCACTTGCTTCCAGTTTTACAGTAAAAATTTTTGCAGTGTTCTCTTCCCCATGAAAAAATACCATGCAAATTGAGTAAGTGACCATATTGAAGCAGTAAGTCAAGACTGCAAGGTGGGTGGAGAGGAGATCATGTGGGGCAACAGGTACAAATGAAAAGGGGAGTCTAATTATAGAGAGCCTTGAATGCCACGCCAAGGAAGGTGAATTGTATTCTCAAGGCAATAGCATATGACTACAGATTTAAAAGTATGATACAACCCAGCATAACTTTAAAGAAATAAATCTGGGGGCAGATGTGCAGAATCCATCACAAAATCAAAATCACTGGAGCCAGCAGACCAGTTAGAAGATTTGCCAAAAGCCAGATAGAAGATGGTGAGGCCTGAATTCAATTAGTGGCTGGGCTTCTGCCCATCCCTTAGGGTGCCTCTGTGCAAAGTAGGAAAACGTGTGCCTGGACACGGCTTGGCAGGGCTTAGTCGTCTCAGCTGGTGCTTTTGTGCAGCGCAGGGCCTACACCAGCACATGTGGTGGCCCTGGGCAGTGAGAAAGGAAAACAGAGCTGTGTGTTTGATTATACGTAGTGGGGAGGGAGTAGGACTCTAAAACTTGAGAAATTACCTGGGAGGGAATGCTGCCTAGTTGTGCTTCAGTTTTCTCCTTACTTTGTTGTAGGTCGAGAAAGAGAAGAATATACACAAAAGAATACTACCTTTGAAACTAAACCATTCAGAACACTGACATTCTATTTTTGACCTGGAAACCAACCTTTCTTTCACTAAGCTCTTAAATATTTTTATGAAAAAACAGAAGTCTTTAAGGGAAAAGACTTAGACACAACTTTCCGCAAAAACATAAAGGGTTCTAGATTGCAAAGGGTAAACAGTACTGAACTTCAAAATTATATTATTGCTAATTATGAGAGACACAGAGATACAGAGAGACAGAGAGAACATTACCTTTGGACCCTGTTCACCTCGTTGGCCCTTTGGTCCTCGGAGTCCTGGACCACCCTGGCAAACAGATGTTAAGTATTAGCACAAAGACAAGTCTTAAACAGCATATTTCACCCCTTTTCTTCAATAATATGGATTATGTAATTCTTATTTTGAATAAAGGCCAACTTATTGTGTAATGGTGTATGTTCATTATGATCCTTTACTGGAAATCTGCCACCTAGATTCACCTCTTCCTGCTGATGATTTCATAGTTTGAGAAAGCTTTCTATGCCAAATCCTGTCAAATTAAAAAAGCTACAGTATTTTGAAATTTAGTGTGTAAAACTATTACTATTAATGGATGCAAATAAAATACACTGCTAATCTAAAATTGTGTGTATTATACCACAACTTTGAGATTATTCAATTAAATTATAAAAAGCATATAAAAATAGTTTTTAAATTGTGACCATATTGAAGCAGTAAGTCAAGACTGGGATTTTTATTTTAATTACACCATAAAAGGCTAATCAGTGTTACTGAAACTTCAGTTATTTGCATTTTCCCTAATATTTTTGCCTTATTAAGGCACATCTGCACAATTACTTAATATCATTTTCCTTATCTAGATATATATGTACATACATAATACGTACATATGTATGTGTATATGTACTCTTGCAAACATATTCTTTGTATGTATGTGCATAAATATATATGTGTATACACTGAATATTTTTCAATTGACTCACTATTTCACTTAAATCTAATCTTAAAAGCAAACATTATAACACTATAGTTAATGGGAAAATGTATTACTTATTAAGAATAGAAAGAAACCTTAAAAATACACTATAAATAATGTTATTAAATTTAGCTAGATTTTGTTCCTATTGAAGTCTGTAAGCCATGGGCTTGTTCTTTGTTAAAAAGGGAGACAAATAGGTATTAGTGTGCACCAGAGTGAGAATATCTCTTTCACCTGAGCAGAAGGATTAAACGCTCACTGAAAATGGAATAGCTTTCTCAGTGTGTGTTTCTAATTTATTTCCTGAAAAGCATTTTGTGTGCCATCAGCAGAACACTCGCATCACTTGGGTAAAGACTGGATCTGGTGACCTTTAAGGTTTCTTCCAGCTTGTTTTAACCACTTAAATTCATTCCCCTCCCCAATAACACCTGGTTGCTTATCTTCCAGACTTTAATTTTTTTTAAAGATTTTATTTATTTGAGAGAGAGAGTGAGCACAAGCAGGGGGAAGGGCAGAGGGAGAGGGACAGGCAGATTCTCCCACTGAGCAGGGAGCCCTATGTGGGCTGATCCCAGGACCCTGAGATCATGACCTGAGCCGAAGGCAGACACTTAACCCAGTGAGCCACCTGGGCGCCCCTCTTCCAGACTTTTAAAATATAATTCTAAATTTGCATTATATGCGGAGTGCCCGGGTGGCTCAGTCGTTAAGCGTCTGCCTTCGGCTCAGGTCATGATCCCAAGGGCCTGGGATCGAGCCCTGCATCCAGCTCCCTGCTTGGTGGGAAGCCTGCTTCTCCCTCTCCCACTCCCCCTGCTTGTGTTCCCTCTCTTGCTGTCTCTCTCTCTCTGTCAAATAAATAAATAAAATCTTCAAAAAACTTCTTTGAAAAAGATTTTATTATATGCATATATGTACCTATAGAAACTATTACCTATAGTATTTTTGTACTATTATATGATGTATTATAAATTACATATGTGACATCACACTTATTACATACTCCTAAGTTTTTTAACTTAATATATTTTAGAGATTCTTTCCCATGACTTAACATATGATTTAGCTTATTCTGACCGAGTTGCGTAGTTTTCCAAACCTTGGATTATACAATCGTTTGTTTAACCATTCTTTATGACTGAAAACATAGGGTTTTCTCACACATTTTTTTTTTTTGTTTGCTGTTTAAACACTTCTGCCATTAACATCCTTAAACAGCCCTGAAGTACAAACTTTAATATTTAAGTGCAAATGTTAATATTTAGGATATCGACAAGTAGAATTATAAATGAAATTTGATTGGTAGGCAGATATATTGTCAAACTGTGCTCCAAAATACCTCTGCCAATTTACTCATCTACCAAGAGTTTAAGAGGGTTCCAGCTTCTCTAAACCTTAGTCACCACCTGATCTTGAAGGGGAGCAGAATTTGTCACCTCACAGTGTGCCCCTTTGGAGTAAGGGTTATTTTAGTCTGATTATTTAAGAAACTGCAGACACAGGAGAAGCCCTGAAAAACCAAACACCGAGTAAAAGTTTTATAAGAGACATTTACATTTATGAGGGTTGCCTCCATTTGTAAAGGTTTCTCCTTCTGTACCAGGAAAAAAAGGATGACTCTAAATCTCTAGAAACTTACTTATGAAGAAGGCAGAGACTAGGGTCTGCATAACAGCTTCACCCTTGTTTGCTGCACCTTTCCTGGTAACCTCCCCAAACAGACTCTCCGTCCCTAACACCCCCCCTCTTTTTTTTTGTCTTTAGCTGAAGATGATATTTAAAGTGCTGGCTTCAGCCATGTTGGGGAGTTATTCAGTCTTCCTGGGTATGTCCCATGTAAACAGGAGGCATGTGTGTTATTAAACTCTTGATTATTTCTCTTCTGTTAATCTTTTTATTAAAGGGGTGTCTTAGCCAAGAATCCAGAAGAGTAGAGGGAAAATTATTTTTCCTCCCCCAACAATGTTGTCAAACTTTACATTTTTACCAAACTAATTGGTAAAAAATAATATTTTACTCTTATTTTAATTTTCATTTTCCTTAACACTACTTTAATGGGGCATCTTTTCATAACATTTGCCCATTTGCATTTAATCTCAATGCAAGTACCAATTTCTATATCTTACTCAGTTTTCTAATGGGTTGCATGTCTTCTTCTCTTTAATGTGTAGAAATTCCTCATATATTTGGATACCACACCTTTCACTGCTATATGGGATGCAAATTATTTTTCCCCAGAGTGGCAGACACTGTTGGTTGGCTACCAAGCAGTCTTTCCTGACTCCTTTGTCCATTTTATTTCTCCTACTACAAAGGCTGAAAAAGACGGATTTGCTTGCCCCGCCTCCTTTGCAACCAGGAATGGGCACATTAGTCACTTTGGGCTAATGTAATCAAGAGGCCATAAGCCTATAGAAAGGAAAGTGGGAAGCTGGGACAAGCTTGGGGGACCATCCACCTCTAAATCTTTTGCTGAGCAAACAATAAATATCTAAATGTCCCGGTGGTTTACACTACTGTGTCAGTCGAATTTTCTGTTCCCTGTAGCTAGTGCAATGCATCCCAATTAATATACCATTCTGGCACAAACTCTTTAACTTTTTCTGCGCATCTTTAATGATTGGTTTTTCACCGCAGGTTTTGTTCAAATGTGACAATTTGGCTCATGGGTATTCATGCCGGAGGCACCATGTCTAAAAGCCTGGAGCCTTTTATATTTGTAACTTATTTTGCACCTTATCCTTAACCTTCAACACTGAGCACATGACAAGAATTCAATACATTTTTGTGGATGTTAACTTCCACAAAATAGGAAAGGGTTAGCCTAGGCAAAGGGAATATGGCTCATTCACCCATACCTTCCTACAGCTGTTTTGTAGTTTATTGGCACAAAACACCCACGTGTAAATTCTTGAATGAGAATTTACCTATGTTAAATCATTAGCCAGGGTTTATTGCATATTGTTTTCGGATACTATTTCTTGAATAGTTTATTATACTTTAAATATTTGAAAATTTTAATAACTTTTCTCCTATTTTATATCTTTCTTTCCAAGTCAGAGCTCAACCCTTCTCTTTCACTTCTCTGCTTTTTTCTCATTACAAAGTTTGACTCTTGGGTCATCTGTAAATATTTTATAACTTGTTCCAGCAGTATTGCAGATGAAAAAACTTGAAAACCCTCCAGCTAAAAAAGCTTATTAATGCTGCTTAAAATAAAACAAACATTATTATAATTAAGAACTGAATGCATAAGTCCCAGGAATAAAGAATAAAGAAAAACCAGAGATGCAAGCATGCGCACAGAGACTGCCCTGGGGGAGGACAGGGAAAAAGGTTCAGGATTGCTGCAAAGCTTTTACTGTATAGCCCACACAAAGCAAGGAAATGTGAACTTGAGCCTATGATAGGTGGGGGCAGGGCTGAAAATGAAATGTTTAAAGCTGAGGAACTTGAAAAGCTTCACTGTGAATCAGGTAGGGGAGAAAACAAACAAACAGTAAAAAATAGCAGGTGGATGACCAAGATGTTGCTTCCAATGTTCCAATGTAGCTATGGGAGGAGTTGGAAATGTCTTTGCTAAGAAATATTACCCAGAAGCTGATTCTCAGACATTCTAGAGATCAGAATTCATCCTGCCTGTCAGGAGCAAACAAAACTCCAGAGTCAAACATCTAAGGTGGATTTCAGTTGGTTGTCTACCCAGGAGCTTAGCAGAAGCAGGCACAGATATTCTCTGGAGGAATACAGCCCCAAACCGGCTCACAGTATCCCCTGAGATAAAATTTCAAGTAATACAGCTCAAATATACAGCCCCCCAAATCACACGGTACATATGGAAACAAGATAGCATGAGTAACATCAGCAGAAAAAAAAAATGGCAGACTCAGAAACACATACAATGCAGATATTGAGATGATCAGATGAAAAAATAAACTGTACTTAAAATATTGAAAGAAAAAATAGTTTTGAAGTATTACAAAAGAAGAAAGAGTATAGAAATGCCCAGAAGTTTTGAAAAGGAACCAAATATAACTTCTAGCTGTGTTAAATATAGTCATCAAAATCAGAAATGCAATGGATAGGTTAAACAGCATATTAAACATAGCTAAATATAGAATACACTAGAAACTAAATTTGAAGAAATTACACAGAAGAAGCCTGGAGATAGAAGCAGAAATAAATAAAAAAAATTAAGAGATGTGAGAGTAAAAAAATACATCAGTTGAATTTCAGAAAAACATAATAGAGATGATAGGAGAGAGGCAATATTCGAAGAGTTAGTGACTAAGAAAACTCCAAATTTAATGAGAAACATTGCCATCGAAACTCATGAAGTCATAAGTTTTCCAAAATGGCAGATTATCTACATCAAAACCCCACACCAGAGCATACCATAGTGAAACCTCAGATCACTAAAGACAAAGGGATCTTGCAAACAAGATCTTCCCGTTTATTAGTTTGGAAAGTTGTCTCACTGCTTTAATTAAGGCCAATATTAAAAATTTTTAAGCAAGACAGGAGGCTTATTATTCTCTTATATTAAAATCTGAGCTGATAATTGGTTCAGTGTTCTATAGTAGCTTTACCACGTAAGGCAACATGGAAGCTCAGTTGCTTCCATTTTATTGCTCTGCTGTGTTCTAGGACACTGCTTACCAAAGTGAACCACTACCACATGTTCCCAGAGTAGTATGTTGAGAGGGGTGAGGATGGATAAGGAAGTTATTTTGTTTTCATTTAAGAACAACGTCTAGGTTGATTGCATATCCCTTTTCTCTCACTGGCCAGAACTTGGTCATAAGGTGATACCCACTTGTACAGATGCTAAGAAGTCAAGTGCCTAGGTGAATGGCCACGTACTTAGCTAAAACTCGGGGAATTCTACTATGAAAAGAAGCAGCGGCAACGAATGCAGGAAGTACAATCAACAATCTCTGTAACAACCATCAAAACTATCTTTTGATAATATGGGAAATAAAAGCATTTTGCGATGAACAAAAATTGAAAATTTACTATCAATAGTCTCTCATTAAAGGAACATCTTGGGGCACCTGGGAGTCATAGTTGGTTAAGTGTCCGACTCTTGGTTTTGGCTCAGGTCATGATCTTGGGGTCCTGAGATTGAGCCCCGTGGAGGGCTCTGTGCTCAGCAGGGAGTCTGCTTGAGATTATCTCTCTCCCCCTCTCTCTGACCCTCTCCCTGCTTGCTTGCACACTCTCTGTCTCTCATAAATAAATAAATAAATAAATAAATAAATAAGTAAATAGAAGGAACATCCAAAGGGTATATTCCAGAAGAAATAAAAATGATACCAGAAGATATTGTGAGCAAAGAAATAGCAAGTATAGAGGCAAGTTTTAACACACAGTAATTTATAACAAGTACTAAAAAAATGTCTAGTTTGTGATGTTAAAAAAATACTGGATAGCAACAGTGCATAATTTATAAAAAGGATGATCCAAGAGAAATAAATTCCAAGAAAATCTATCTGTTGAAATAGGGTGAAAATCTTGATTCTTTTTAGACTTTGTCAAGCTAAATATGTTTGTTAAAATCTCTTCATTGACTACTAAAAGAACAGCTACGGAGAGTATAATTTCCGAATTAGGGGAGGGGAGAAGAAAAGAATAACAACAAAAAGCCAAAAAGTGTAAATAAGTAGATAAAACCTCAACCAACCATGAAAGTCACATATATACATCATGTGGGACAAATAGAAAGCAAAAAGTAAGGTGATATTTATAGGAATATTTGCCTAAAGAGGTTAATTATCACAAACAACAGAATGAATGGACTAAACTCTAAAAAAATTACAAAACCAGATTGAAAACAAAACCTAGCCATATACTATTTAAACAGAACTCATCTCAAACTTAAAGACAACAGAAAGGCTGAAACTAGAAGGATGAAGAAAATGGGCATTAAGGAGGGCAGGTGATGTGATGAGCACTGGGTGTTATATGCAACTGATGAATTATTGAACTCTACATCTGAAACTAATGATGTACTGTATGTTCGCTAATTGAATTCAAATAAAAAATATATACATATACCCGGAAAATAACCCAAAAGAGAAATGATGATATTGCAAGTCACTAGCAAGATGACTGTTCTCAATTTTTTGTACACTGTAACACAATCTCAGGATATACAAAGCAGAATTACAAACAGAATTTGACAGATTGAAATTGAAGTAGAAGATTTTAAACATCTATCTCAGCAATTGAAAGATAAAGAATTAATGCAGATAAAGAAGATTCTAACAACATAATTTACAGTTTGATTTACTGGATATTTATATTTAGAACTCTTAACTCCACAATTAGAAAACACACATTCTTCTAAAGCATACATGGAACAGCAATAAAACTTGACAAAAGGCCACAAAGCAAATGTCAAAGAATCAACAAATGTCTAAAAATTGGTACTATGGAGACTATCTTCCATAAAAAAGTGCAATAAAATTAATACAACAAAAAAATAAAATTGCACATATGATCGGAAATTTAAAAAGACACTTCTAAGTGAACTGTGGCTAAAAAGAAGGAATAAAGACAAACATAAAAAATGATAGCTCACAGAAATATTAAATTTAACTACATTGGATTTAAAATTTCTAGACAATAAAAAGTCCCATAAACAACAAAGAAGCCACAGACCAGGAAATGATATTTGCAAACCATATCATTAATAAAGGATTAGTTTCCAGAATACATAAAACCACTTAGAAACTAATAAGCAAAAAATCTGCACAACAAAATCCCAGAAAAATTTATAAACAGGTATTTATATAGAAAGGAATTTAAATGACTCAGAGACAAATGAAAAATTGCTCCATCTTACCAACACAAAGGGAGTCTTATTTAAAATAACAACCACAGGGGCGCAGGGTGGCTCAGTCGGTTGACTCTTGGTTTCAGCTCAGCTCATGATATCAGGGTCTTGAGATCAAGCCCCAAGTTGGGCTCCATGCTGAGCGTGGAGTCTGCTTGAAATTCCCTCTCCCTCTGCCTCTTCCCCCATTTGTGCTCTCTCTCTCTCAAATAAATAAATAAAACCTTTTTTATTTTTTTAAAGAAGTCTATACAGCCTTGTGGCTAAAAGCTTAGATTTTATTTTTCTAAGATTTTTATTTGTTTATTTTTGAGAGAGAGAGAGAGCATGGAGGGGAGGGGCAGAGGGAGAGAGAGAATCTCAAGCAGACTCCTGATGTAAGGCTCAATCTCCTGACACCGTGAGATCATGACCTGAGAGCCAGAGAGCACAAGTGGGGGGTGGCGGGTAGAGGGAAAGGGAGAAGCAGATTCCCCACTGAGCAAGGGGCCCAATGTGGGGCTCGATCCCAGGACCCTGGGATCATGACCTGAGCCAAAAGCTGACGCTTAACTGACTGAGCCACCCAGGCGCCCCTCTTTAGGCAAGTTTCTTAACATCTCTGTGCTTTGGTTTGCTCATAGGATTAAGTACGTGTTTAGCACAGTGGCAAGCACATATTAGACACACAAGTGATAGCTATGAATATTATTAAAGAACATTTAAGTCTGAATGAGGCAAGACTTACTGGTGGGCCTGCTGGTCCCAGAGTCCCGGTATTGACTTCAGAACAGGAGCAGGAATGTGGTAGCTCTGGGCAAGTCTCCTCATCCCTCTGAAGGGAGAAAAAAAAAATAGCATAACTGTTAACAAGACAACCTATACAAATAGCTTTATGGACTCAAAGAAAACACTTTAAAACACTTAAAAAAAAAACTTTCAAGTGAACATTGGTGTGGAAAGGCAAAGAATATTCTCTCCTGCCCACAAAATATTTTCCTTAAAGAAAAATGAATGAGTGTCTAGTGAGTCATTGATAATCATCATTACCAAAGGATGTTGATAAAATGAGCTTGGGGATGTAGGTGAAGAAAGGAAGGCAGAAGTGGGTATAAAAGATTCTGGTTACTATTTCATTCAGTTTGAGTAGGAGTACTCTATGAACTAAAGGTCTTGAACACTTTCTTATTTCTATTTCAAAGGATTAAAAAAAAACATGTTGGAATAGTCGATCAGAACAACTGCATCTACACTAAAACACATAAAACAAAATGAAAACAGTGCTTAAACGCATCATCAAGTCCTTGTAACAACTTTCCTTATGACTCACGTTCTGTGGTTGAACATAAGGAAACACCAACAGCATCCATCTAAAGCTTTGGGATAGGAGCTCATTTTTCTTCTCTTGCACAATTTTGTTGCCACATGACATTACAAGATAGATTATGAACATCAGTCTAACATCTCTGGATGAGTAACTGGGGTATGAAGACAGAGCACCTGCTAACAGCTATCACGCAATTTGTGGCTATCCCATTTGAAGGACCAGCCAAAAAGAAGTCTGCACCGGGATAAGAAACTGCAGACCTTCATAGGGTTCACCAGTCCTGTTGGACAGGGAGAAAATAAGCTTCACTTTTTAAGAATCAGGGGAAAAGTAAAGCTGGAACTGAATAGAGCACGGATGATAACTAAATGATCAAGTGGAAAATAATCTCAGTCTCTGAAACGTTCACAACGGAAACCCAGGAAATGTTGAGCAGAGGGCCCATGTATACTATATATACTTTTCTCTAAATGTTGGACAACAGTCAAAGCTTTCAGCTCATTATAGGAAACCCCCCTGCTTGGGTTATACTTGGTAGTAATAATGATAAAAAGATTGATTTTCTGTAACATCACACAGGTTATACAGATTATGACTACAATTTCAGAACTGTGTCCCAAGATGCCTTGGGGCACCTTAGCAAACTTACAGGGGCACCATGAACATTTTAAAACCTCAAGAGAATTAGCAATATTCGGCACCCATTGGACCTCTTATGAACCACTAGCTCAAGGTAGATCATGATCTTAACATTAGATATTGAAATACTTTTCTGATGATGTCATATACTTGCAAATCTGGGGTTCTGGCAGTTGCTGTGATGGAAAACAACTACCATGGAAAAAATCAATGTGGAAAAAGAAGTGAGGTGGCAACGTCCAATCAGATTCCAACGTATGAAAAATTGGGTACTCCTGACAGGCTCATCCATCCCATTCCTAAGTTATTCTGGTTATTCAGGAATACAATAACAATCCCATTTTCTTCTTTCAATTCATGTGTATTATTTTTTCATATGGCTACTGAGTTCTTAGAGCATAAACACTTAAGATTTTTGGACCTAATGGATTCATATATGGAATTGTTTGGCATTTTTTTGGCTTAGTGGTACCATGAAAAAAATTATTGCAACACCAAAGGTTTCCTGAACCAGGAAGTTTGAGAACCTCTGGACTCTGTGTAGATGGCACCCCCTGGAGGTGTGCAACTCCCGCCACGCATGTCAGTGTGTCCTGCTGATGTCAGACACGCCTCCTTCTTAACCTCTTCTGATTTTCATTATCATCACAATGAATTGCCTTGTTATGAGTTTTATGAAATAGCATTTAGTTTTCAGAGAAAATCAAATACAACTTTAGAACATTTCAATAAAGAACAGACCTACTAATAAAAGAAGAATTCTTACCAGGCCTGGAAGTTCACAGCATTTGTCTCTATTGGCCCATGATGTGGAACAGATAATATCAAACATCTGTAACTGGAACTGCAATTTAAAACAAAATTGTCATTCAATAAAAAATAGGTACACTCCGTCTATAATTATGATTTCATATCCTGTATCACGTAATAGAACTGATACATTTGTAACATAACTTTACAGTAAATAAAGTCATTCTAACAATATCAAATTGATTTTGTTTCTCAGACACACAGTGATTTAAGATTTTGTCTATAGTTACTCCATCCAACCTCTAAACTCCCATATTTATCACAACTTCTCATCTCTGCCTGAAGGATCTTAGCACCCCTGTTGAAACTCGCCCCGTTCTGCCCTCATGGTCATGACCAGGCCTCTGCCACCCCACAACACCCCATGTAGCTCTTTCCTGGCACGTCTCCCACCATACAGTGTGATTATTTATATTAACTCCTCCTTAGACTGTGAGCTCTTCAAGGGACAGAGAACCACTTCATCTTTGTGTCCCCATCGTATGTGGGAGGTAGTAGGGATTCATGAAACCTTGTCAAATTAATTCTGACTTCAATTGCTTATGCATACATTCAACAAATTTTTCTTTAGTGTGTAACGCAAGCCAGATACTACATCAAACTTTAGAATATGAAAATGAACAAAACCAAAATCCTGCCCTCAGAGATCTTACTGGGAGTGAAAGGTAGGCACATGAATGCTGTTTACAACATTGTAAGTGTTGTGACAAATTCACAAATAGTATTGTGAGAATCTGTGCTGATGTATTTTTATTTAAGCCATTGATCATGCCATAAATATTAGTCTTGTTCTACTCATGTATGTTGGCAAAACCCAGTGTACATTTTGAAATATACAGGAACATCATTATAATATTATTAAGGGCTGACATTAGCTTCATGACCCAACCAATCCTAATATTATGTTTCTTCTGATATTATTTTTGAGTATTACAAGTGTCACCGATTACAGAGCTAGGAGAAGGATGGAATCTTTTCATTTTAAATCTACAAACTTCCTTTAGCAAGTGGTGTTTTCAGCAAGTGCTAGAACCTTTCTTGGTGCCTTATTTTCTCCCCCAAATACTACTCATCCCTGTCAGGGGTCCCGTAGATGAAAATGAGAATACCTAAGTAGAAAGTACTACAAAATAGTTACTCACAATGCATGCAGCATTACAGAAGAGCCTGCTCTATCTGACAGTAAAGAGAAGAAAATCAAGCTTTCTCTTGTAATATGTAAGAACTGTGCTTTGCTGCAAATATGCTTTCCCAAGTGAGGTTTGCAAGATTAGTAAAGTAAAGCTTAAATTTTGAAAGCAGATCCATGAATTAAGGCATCGTGTTTTTTCTGTTGGCTTTTTTCTATATACAACTATTGAGTTGTTTGAAGAAATATGTGCATGGCTCGCCTCTCTTTTTTTTCTCCAGATTAAAGAAAAAAGTTCCCAATAGGTAGGATATCGGAGTCTGTGGAGGGCAAACATACAACAAAATAAAATTTAAAAATTCAGGTTTTAAGGTTTTTGGACCAAGAAAAAAATAAGTTTTTCAAATTAAAACATTTTTAAGGAATGTGGATGCTGATTTTTATGAACGATAGCAACAGAAGTATTTCAAGGACCATAGGGGTGAGGAAGCTATGGAGCTAGACTGCCTGGGTGTAAGCCTCGAATCCTCCTCTCACAAACTAAGTCATTTTGAACAAATTATGTAATGTGTTCAAGTCCAAGTTTTCATTTGTAAAATTAATATAATAATAGTGGCTCTTTAATAATAGCTATTCATTAGTGTAATAATAGTAGGTATAACAGTAAAATGAGTTAATGTAGGGAAATATGTATAACAGTGCCTAGAATATAGTTATTATAAATAATAAGTATTATTATTTAAAGATTTTATTTATTTATTTATTTATTTATTTATTTATTTATTTATTTGAGTGAGAATGAGCAGGGGGAGGAGCAGACGGAGAAGGACAAGCAGACTCCAATGAGTCTGAGCACAGAACCCAATGCGGGGCTCAATCTCACAACCCTGAGATCATAACCTGAGCCACATCAGGTCATGCTTAACCAACTGAGCCACACAGGTGCCCCTAAATATTATTTTAATGGAGCATGTACAGCCCTTTCATTATTGAATTCTTTAAGGTGCAGAAGAATAGAATACAAAGGCCAAAAGAGTAGAATCTAAATAAAAGTAATGTGTACTGAGGGCAGAAATATAACAGTAGTTTGTTTCCACAATAATTGTATCTGTTTAATACTTTGGTTGAGAAAAATCTAAGCAAATAATGGCAACAATAGCAGTGGGCATTTGTTGAAAAACTACAATGTGCCAGGCACTATCTTAAGGACTTTGCTTGTATCATACAATCTTTAGATCACCACTATGAGGTATATATAATAAGTAATGCCAACCCCATTCTGCAGATTGCGACCTGGGAACAAAGAACCTAAGAAATGTAAGCACGTGTTGAAATTGGAGATCTGGTTGGGATTTGAATAGCATGTTTCATTTTCTTGTAGTTCATTTTGCAGTGAAAGGATCTTTGGTCTAATGTTTAAAATGCGGATACCCCAGCCTAACTAACTTTACAATGCCATTTGTCTGGGGGCATTTATTAAATGGGGCCCATTATGACAGTATTAGATAGATCCAGTTCAATCTAAGTCATTCATCCATTAAGAAATTCCCCATTTCTGAATAGAGCCCTCAGTGTAAAAGCATTTTATTGAATGGAAAGATGCACGTAAAGGAAAGGACTTTCATTAGCCCCAGTAAGGACCAGGCTTTCTTGAAGTTTTTCAAATAAACATTTACCACCTAATCGCCTAAAACACTATGATGTCTACATACACACCTTTGGCTAAACTTATGTCCCATTGAGTTACTGGGATTCTTCTGAGTTCATCTTATTTATTCAAGGGGTTGAATGCCTACTAAGTGCTGAATGAAGCCAATACTATCATTTGAGGAATGCTTGTGGGTTGCCTTTTCTTTTTCAAGTTTGATGAAGTCAGCAGCCTTTTGTGTTTGTGTGTGTGGATACAACAAATTTATTCATAATTGTTTTGCATTCGTAATAGCTTAGATTCCTCAGCCATTATTTAGGGACTTCTTTCCAAGGCACATTTCCGGGGCTTGATTAAAAAAACCCTCTGGCTTTTATTCCAAAAGCAATGACATACATATTTGTAGAGAAATTATGTAGGAAACAGTACAGACATGTCAAAAGATTTTATATTTGAGTGTCTGAAAATGCAAGACAATGCAGTTGAAAATGAGCAAGAGTCAGACTCTTTTTACTTTTCGTAACTTCTTTCCTTTCTAACTGAACATTATAAAAAATATATGTGCGAAAAAGAGAGCAAGAGGAAAGGGATGCATGAGCTCCTACTTTCACCTTTTATAATACCTTCCAAGGGAATGTATTACAAAGGCTCGTTTTTCATTATTGGACCTTTTGCTCTGAGTGTAACACAAAAGGCAAGTCATTTGGGGTCAAATGTTAGCATGAAAATAAGATTAAAATATTTCTCATCCGTTGAGTCACTGTGATCTGTGAATGAGAATAAAAATGTAGCCTGGCTCAACTTTCCACTCATTACCACATTTTATCCTCTGATTTTCCTCCAGCATAGCATAACTAAGCTTGTAATTTGAAGTCAAGCTATACCTAAAATTATACAAATATTTAGAGAGATTTACATTGCACAGGAATACTGGAGAAAGAGCACAGAGGACGTTGGCCACCTTCTGCTTTAATTTGGTGTTTAACTTTTATTGACCCCGCGTGCTGGGCCCATAACTTTTATTGACCCCATCTCAAAGCTAAGATTTATTAAGCATCTACTCCTTCCCAGCTATTTAACATGGTGTTTTTACTTGCTTTCAATTTATTGAATTTAAGGGAAACCATAAGGGCACTAATTCAATGAAGAGATGAAAATTAACAGCCATTGTACCTATTGGTAGTCATTAAAATGTTTAGGTGTAGGCATACTTTGTGCGGGAACATTTTGATTGCATTTACTTTCAAGGTCAGAACTGAAATAATGGTGTCTCTGAACATGTCAGGGAACAGACAGGGCATACACACAGACCAAACTCCCTCCTCTGCTTTAAGTTCCTTAATGATCAGCCTGACCCAGTGGAAGAGAGCTTAGCATGGTAGGCAGGTATCTCTGTGCAAGTCAGATACAGTCTCATATCTTATTTTCCTCACTTTTTGAAAGGGGATCCCTCTCTAACTTCTTCAAGTCTCAGTTTCTGAATCTATAAAGTGCGGATAATATTAAGTGTCTCTTCCTGTGGTTATTGGAAGATTAAACAAGATAATCCCCGAAAAGCACACACTGCCTGGTCCATCGCAGGCATGCAATAAATATTAGCTACTATTATCATTTTAAGGATTAAAGTATATAATCATAGGAAAACATGATTATTTTCTTATAGTTTAAAAACACTTGTTTCTATAGCATCATTGACTAGTCTACTGTTGATTCCTACATAAAAGCTTTAACTCAGTAAGTCATGTTATAAAAAAACTCGTAACATAACTTGTATTTGTTTTTATTTACATAGCAGAGGCCCAAACAAAAGTCAATTGGATAATCGTAAAAATGTTAGATTTGAAATGGGAAAGAAAGACACTAAGAACATGATCACACGCCAGAAGCTCAAAATATTTCTAAGATCATCTCTGGCAGCATTATAATTTCATCACGTATCAGAAAAGGTAGAAGAAAATTCTTAGGAGAGAGAAGAACAGAAAGGAGAAACACAGTCGTTAAGTTTCTTCCCATGTGTGTTTTGATGGCTAAATTAAGCCAATTTATTGGCTTAGTCCCACTAGGGACTCTTCGCTATCTATAACATCTCACATTACTGAACACAAGCTGTTTTTATTACAAATGTGAGTAACTTTGATATAGTAGTTACTGTATCCCTAAATCCATTAATCTCTCCTCCACTCAACTTCGGTTTAAAAAGAATCTATTTTCTTTAAGGACTTAATATTTAGAGTTTTCCCATCATCTGGCATTTTTT